ATATTGTTGTATGTTGCTACATTAAACAAATGTGGTTATGAACGATAAAGAAGAGCTCACAGGTCAAGCCTTCAGTCCTATGGATTAATGAATAGTCTAAAATTTTCGAATTATGTTTATTTTATATAGTTGAAATCATCAGTTAATTGAAGCTAGACCACCATGGAAAACCTCGGTGCACTGCACGACCGTTTCGTCCTATTGTGGGATTCCTCGGTAGTGCGCATCTACGATCCGGCATCGTGAGATTCTGACCCAGAACTTATCAGTCTCTCGCTCGAGCGCTTAACCAGTAGACCGCTGATCTGGCCTGTATCCAACGATGTTAATGTCTAACTTCAACCAATCCACGAAATTCAGCAACCATTCACCAATATCTTCACTGAGATAATATCTCACAACAGACCTGATTGAACTCCACTGGTCACGGCCTTCCAGTGCTTCCAGGTTTTCCATGGTGGTCTAGCTTCAATTGACTCATAATTTCAACTATATAAAACGACTAAAATCTCCAAAAAATCCCCCTTCTAAAAATTATGTTTATATTGTATCAAATAACTATGTATACACTACCATTTGTCTTACTTTACTATATCCATTTGGAAGGGTTATTAATTCATTTGGAGATACTACTCACTGTTTTCAAGAGATTGATTGAGCTTAAATTATCTAGGAAAAAACGTTGGAAGTGGATAAGATATACATTAAGGAAATCACCAATGTGCATCACGAGTCAATCTCTAACTTGGAATCCGGAAGGAAAGCGAAAAAGAGGAAGGTCAAAGAACACATTACGTCGGAGTAGATATGAAAAGGATGAATGTTAACTGGAATGAACTGGTAAGCATTGTCCAGGACAGAGTTAGATGAAGAATGCTGGCGGGCGACCTATGCTCCTCTACGAGGAGTAACATGCGTAAGTAAGTAAGTAAGTAAGTGAGTGAATTATCTAAAATCAAGAATTAATGAACTCTTAACACTGAGAACTTCAAATGATTCAATAAAATGAAATTATTAATATTTCTAACAGGAAATCTACTTTTGTTATATACAGAAATCCATTAAAACTATTGGATTGAATGGATTACTTAAAAACTCCATCATAACGATCTGTTACATGTTCTTGATGATGTAACATTATTTAACCTAGATGTTTTGTTTAAGAAACTTTCATCATCATTCTGAACAGCATAATTAATGGCTAAATGAATTCATATTGATTAATATTTTGTTCAGATGACCCTTAACCACATGACAGATTGACTTATTTCGTATGATCTGATAAACTGGATATATGTAGATATAGTTATTGACAGTAGATTGGTCGGTATGTATGCCTACAATTCAGAGGTGATGCACCTAGTAAAAGGCTAAGACTGAAGTTACGAAGATCAATCCAGAGGACTTTTAATGCAGGTAAACTATAACTAATGTTTAACACACGTCCAATGATCATTCCGAGGTTGAAAGATCAATTGCCTAGACTAGCCACTTCTTTCTGTATCTATCAATTCAACTGCTCCTGTAGGGCAAGTTATATAGGCAAATGTTCTATGAATTTGTATATTCGGGCTGGTGAGCACCTCCCAGTGTGGTTAAGCAAAAGTGTAGTCAAAACAGTTAACAACTCCATTTTAGCTCATTTAGTTCAGACGAGACATAGTGCCAACATGGAGCAATCTTTCACAATCATATATCATGTTAACAGCAGTCTACTTAATTCCATGAGACTGAGAATCCTACAGACGGCTAAGGCGATTGCTATTCGGATAAAAAAGCCAGGGCTTTGTATCCAAAGGAAATGTGTCCAGCCACTCCTTTTACCCTGGCCAACTTTAATGTTAATTACTTACTTACTTACGCCTGCCACCCCTCGTGGAGGAGCATAGGCTGCTCACCAGCATTCTCCATCCAACTCTGTCCTGGGCAATCCTTTCCAGTTCCTTCCAGTTAACATTCACCCGTTTCATAGCTGCTTCTATTTCCCGGTGTAATGTGTTCTTTGGTTTTCCTCTTTTACACTTCCCTTCCGGATTCCAAGTTAGGGATTGACTCGTGATGCACATTGGTGATTTCCTTCATATATCTCCGATCCACTTCTAACGTCTTTTCCGAATTTCCTCTTCAGCTGGAAGTTAATTTGTCCTCTCCCATAAAACACTGTTGCTGATGGTATCCGACCAGTGAATGTTGAGTATTTTGCGTAGACAACTGTTTATAAATACTTGTACCTTCTTGACGATGACTGTAGTGGTTCTCCACGTTTCAGCTCCGTACAGTATGACTATCTTGACGTTCGTATTGAAGATTCTCACTTTGAGACAATCTGACAGTTGTTTTGAGTTCCATATGTTCTTCAACTGTAGAAATGTTGTCCTTGCTTTGCCAATCGTCGCCTTTACGTCTGCATCCAATCCTCCTTGTTTATCAACGATGCTTCCCAGGTATGTGAATGTTTCCATCTCTTCCAAAGTTTCTCCATCAAGTGTGATTGGGTTGGTGTTCTCCGTGTTGTATTTGAGAATCTTGCTTTTTCCTTTGTGTATGTTGAGGCCAACTTCAGGGTCAAGATGTTACTAATCAATTTTATAATATGGTGACGTTAATTTGATTAATGTTCATTTTTATATCCTTAACTTACTTTATCAACACATCTTACCAGTCATTATCATTATTACACTTGCTACCCTTTAAGAGAAATTTATTTAACATCCACCCCTATCTACTATATCTAACCTAATTTCTGATTTGTAATTCCACTGTTCTCTCTCTTATCCCATGTCAATTATATTTACTCTAATCACGATTTATCTTACGATTTTATTTCACTTATAAACTGATTCAAGTTGACACTTTATATATTAGTAAGCTCCAACATTAACGATTCTCATAGTTGAAAGCGTGAGTCAATTGAAGCTAGACCACCATGAAAAACCTGGAAACACTGGACAGCCGTTTCGTCCTATTGTGAGACTCCTCAACAGTACGCATCCACAATCCTGCACTCGCGAGATTCGAATCCAGGACCTATCAGTCTCGTGCTTAACCACTAGACCACTGATCTGGCTGGCATCAAACGGTGTTAATGTCTAACTTCAACCAATCTACGAAATTGAGCAATCATTCAACAATGTCTTTAGTGAGTTGATATTTCACAACAGACCTGGTTGAACTCCACTGGTCTCTGCTTCTCACTAGAACCCCAGGAAATACCTCATGTAGCCAGTCTCTAGTGAGCATATATTGATTATTATCAGATGGGGTTTTTGTGGAGATTTTATTTTTATATAGTTTAAATTCTGAGTCACTTGAAGCTAAACAATCATGGAAAACCTGGAAGCACTGGACGGCCATTTCGTCCTATTGTGGGACTCCTCAGTAGTGCGCATCCACGATCCCACCTCGCGAGATTCGAACAGAGGACCTAATATCTGAAGATCATATGCACTGAAGGAAATTGTACTAAAAATAAATTGAATATGTTACTTATATTCTAGATGTAAAGAAAAACAATATGCCAACTCCAGTGAAAATGTCTCACACTAAAAAACTTTCCTGAATCAAGATTTTAGAAGGTTAGAACAAGAAAAACTATGGGAAAAAATTGAATTCATTTTATTTACATCATTGAAACAGATGTAAATTATCCATCGTTCTCATGGAAGTACATTTGTAAAATTACATCCTATTTATAAGGATTTGTGCATGCAATCAGAAATCTTTAAAGTAAGATACAGCGAGCCCCCAAATGCCCTAGTACGGCCGAGAGTGGGGATAGTTCGCTCTCCCTCTCCAAATGCTCTCATATGGCCACGCGTATATAGCCTCTGCCACACAAGTCCTACTCACTGCCTTCTCGTGGCATTACTGTTGTTTACGAAATTGAGAGGACGAAAAACGAATGTCCGGCGTCTTAACCGGGTTGGTGGACACGGAAAGTTCGCCTAGAGGAGTTGGAAAACCCTGATTCCAAACCAATGGTGCACATGGGCTCCAGTATCCTGATGGAACAATTTGCGTCATTTGATGAGCACACTTAGCTAAGGTTGTTCTGAATGTATCTCATTTACCAAGTACGGATGTTGAACCACTATCGAATAACTTAACCTGGACATGTATTAGGTACACCCGATCAACCATTACTTGAATAAGCGATCATAACTAATGTAAGAGTAGGTTGAAAGAAAAATAGAGGGAATCAAAATAAAACGTAATATCAATCCATAGAATCATTGACTGTTTGATTAAGGGATGTTGGTAGATTCAGATTGACTGGATGGGGTCTGTGTATCTATCGTGACTATTGGTTGAAGACTGGTTAACAGTCCGTTGAAAGGGTGCAGATACATTCACTCCTTGTCTTGCCTTAAATTCATAATTCCCTTACATTTCATCTTGAATCATCCTGTTTATATCTAATGCCTTCTACTACCATCAGCACTTTCACCATTTAGGTATTTTTATTTATGATTTCATTTCGCTATTGTAGGACAACTTGGTAAAATGCATGTATGTCATGTTGCCTAAGATCAGATACACAGTTTAATGTATTATACTTTGAGCTACAGTGTTTGAGTGAGGCCTAATAGTACTACGCATACCTCTAAATTGAAGTGGGTGGTGTAGTGAGGATTAAACCTACTATTGCCTACTGATTGAGAAGCTAAATCGTATAAGAGTTCAATGCTAAAAGAATCCTAAGTTGACTAATAACGCATTTGTTTAAAGCATCCATACTATCTAATGTCATTGGAATAATATTTTTGACCACCATTCAAAGTCTGGAAGTGCTGGGCGGGTTACCTGATGGCACAGGACTTCTCGGAGGTGCATATCCCCGAACTCCATCAAAGTGGAATCGAATCCAGCACCTCCGGTTTCGAGAATGGACAATTAATCTCTAGATTTTTGAACCAGGACCCAACGTTGTTAATGTCTAACTTCAATCAAACCACAACATTGTCCACCTTTCCAATGTCTTCAGTGAGTAAGCACCTCATACCTGACGCAGTTTATTATATGAATTTCATGACAAACAAATGGAGACCATCATCATAAACAATAACGAACGTTTTTTTATTTCTTTCTGTACAAACCGAACTAGTGTGTTTAACATAAACATACAAAACATAAAAACCAATAGTACAACAATTCCGGTAGTAACAATAGTAATAATAATAATCAAAATAAGTAGACATAACTGATCACTACTACTAATATGAATATTTTTTAAATTATCTATCTTGATCATGTGTATGTGTATGTGGTTGAGTGGAACCCCCCCCCTATCTCTCTCTCTTTTTCCTCACATACAAACATGTGTACACACACAGGGTGGTGTCAAAAAGAAAACTTGGAGCCATGTAAAAGAAGGTTGCTGTTGTTGTTGTTGTCGTCGTCGAATGCTTCTTGCAATCAAAGAAAAATCAAGCGGAAAAAAAAATTGGAACATGGTACCAAAAAAAAGGAGAACATAGTGACCACTTTAAAGTTCAATATTGTTTCAGTATCCAAATCATTCTGGACAGAGGGGAAAAATAAGATTGGAATACAAAAACAAAGTCATTCATTCATTCGTCCACAAAAAAAAAACAACGAGAAAGCACTTTAATCATACTAATAAAAAAAATAACAAGGTACTTCTTCTACACAATGTTTAATCATACAAATCATACCCTAAATTGGAAACTTCAAAAAGAGTGTTATCGTTAGTAGAGAAGAGTCTTGCTTGACTTGACAACAAAATACACAAGACGGTATAACTTATTCTTGTGTTTCACAGCTACTCAACACAACTGGAGATACCTTAATAGAACAAATCATTATTACTGGTCTGTTTTTTTTTTACTTTTTACTTGACAACAAGGAAGAGGTCAAATATAATAATAATAATAATAAACCATAGATGTTTATCTTGTATTTTGTGTAATGGAGAAATTACAAAATTGACTAAATAGTAGCAAATAAGAAGAATAGTAATAATTTGGATTTTCATGTGAAAGACCCTTGGTAAGCGAGCATTAATTAATCAGTAGTCAGTTGGAATATAGGAGAAAGAGAAAAGAAGAGAAGTAGAACAAAAAAAAGAGGACTCAAGAAGAGAAAGGACAAGTGGAAGGAACATGACAATAAGATGGTGGTGGTGGTGGTGGTGGTAGTGATGATAACAACAACCACTAGGCATAATACATGATTTCTTAAATTTTTTTTTGTAGCGCATACAGAGACAGAAAAACAATGGATAGACAAGAATATAAGAGAAGGATGGATCAATAGAAGGAGAAGAATATTGCTATCATTGATTGATTGATTGATGAATGATGGGGGATATAGTTGTTTCTTGTTAGGATAATAAAAAAAATGTAATGAGGATAAGGTGAATAATAAAATATAAATTAGATACAAATAGAGAAATAACAACTCTAATAATTCTCTCCATGGGATCAGATCAGATCAAGTTATCAACAATACTACTACCACATGTGCGCCACGATCGCTTCGTACACATTCATTTGTACAATTTTGAAATATACATTTATGTATCTGAATAATACACAGATACATGTGTCTATTGGTTTATTCATAAGATTTAGATAGTGCAGAAGGTTGATGATGCTGATAAAATGGATGGTGATTATTATGCGATGATAGTAATCCTTGATCGGATAAACCTAGATTGTGTGAAAAGAAGATAAGTAAATTCAGATTGCTGATAATGATCATAAATGGATATAATTAATACAATATTAATATATATGGGCTAGAAAACTGCACGAATGCTCAAACGGAAGCAGATGGTTTTATTGGGGGACCCCACATACCGAACCCTTGATCGGGAGGTCTAACATACAAGGCAATGGAGCAATTTTAAGAGATACAATCCCTTGGTAGCCGATGATCAAGTCATGTGTTTACTCAGGATCCTGGAGCCCATTTCTTTATTTATTTAAACACATAAATATTGGTACAAGGAAGCACCAGTTACATATGCGCCTTACAAATCTCATTCGATTTGTGTGAGGGCTGTGATACTGTCCAGGTGCCCAGACTGAAGCAGGTGGTTTCATTAGAGGGCCACACCCCTAGCCTTTGACCTGAATATCTGATCCACAACGCAGTGGAGCATCGTGAGAAGATGCAATCCCATGGTAGCCGGTGACCAACAATTGGTTCATACGCCATTTGTTCCCTCAGGATACTGGAGCCCATGTGCACCATTGGTTTGGAATGAGGGTTTTCCAACTCCCCTATGTAGACCCTCCATGTCCACCAATCCGGTTAAAGCGCCAGACATTCGCTTTTCGTCCTCTCACTTTCGTACACAACACCCCCACCATGAGAAGGCAGTGAGTAGGACTTCCCTGGCAGAGGCTATATATTCGCTGGCCATATGAGAGTATTTCGAGAGGGAGAGGTGACTCTCCCCACTCTCGGCCGTACCATGGCATTTGGGGGCCTGTGTGCACGACTGATTTGGAATCACGGCTTTCCGACTCCTCTAGGTGGATCCTCAGTATTCCCCAACCCGATTCAAGTGACAGATGTTCGTTTCCCGTCCTCTAAAAAACACTCCAATGAGTAGGACTTCCCTGGCAGTGGCTATATAAGGGTGGCCATATGAGAGCATCTCGAGAGGAAGAGGGGAACTCTTCGCACTCATAAGGGAGAAAGTGAACAGACCGAAAAACACTTCATACTAATCAAAAATCTGTAACCCATTATTTTGCTGATACTAAAGCACTAACTCGCCTGACAAAAATAAACAATGATCCCAACCGTAACTTTGATGGAATGATTGAACTTGACCTTTCATCAAGACAACCTAATCGGGCAATATTGGTGGCAACACTTGTTTCAAGTGTTCCTACCATATGCCGAACGGTTTCGATACAAAGAACTAAAACAAAAACAACCAAATTCAAGGTCGCAAGGTGAAGCAGTACTGCCAGCTGTACCAAGTTATGGTAGCAAAAAGTATTTACCATGGATTATTAGCTTCTCCATAGAAATAGTACACAAATTAGGAGTATCTAACCGAGGCCTACTCTAATAAACAATGTGTCAGTACGAGAGTAGGTTGAAAAAGAATAAAACATAGCATCAATCTATGAATTCGTCGATAGCTGATCTGGTGTGCGAAATATCTGGTTACATTTAGCTGCTGTTGTGAGATGCCCTGGTTTGGATCAAATTACATTCATGTTAAACCCTATGTTGTCTATGATCGGATAATAAGTGTGTTTAAGGATTAAAAAACTACATCCAAATAAAAGCTTTCAACATCGTAACACAAATAGGAATAAATGCTACAAATAACTGAACATTTTTGATCCATTAGTTTGTCAGTTGAAAACCATGATAAATAACTAAGTTGCTTAATACCATAAAGTTTTGATAAGTTAGTTAGTTTTAGCTAGTTAGTCACAACGTAGAACTTCGTACGTACGTACATCAGTTCGAGCTGCCACACCACATTAACACAGAGATGCAATTGACGATTCAAATCCCATATTGGTAGAAGTAGTAAGAGTATAAGCAGTAATCCGAAAGATTGGGGTTTGAAGATGTTATTCAAGGAGTATATATAATCCAGTGAAATAAATTTGGAAAGAGAAAAAAGATAATGACATGAAGAATTCAGAAGATTAGAATTTGGCAGAACACAAAGAGTGGATGCGCCTGCGCCATTGCAAACGATTTTGAGCCATGTCATTCAAAGTCTCTAACCATCGATTGCTATCATCTCGCGAATCCCAACCAGGTAGTATACACCTACCAGCATGGCTCAGTCCACTTGTCAGTGACTTCATGGATTTGTGTCACGCTTTCTTCCAACCTACTCCTACATCATAAAACATTACACGTCGGAGCAGTCTTTGGTTGGGCATACGTAACACGTGCACTAGCCATCTCAACTGATGAACTTTCACTACTTCATCAATGGAATTGCCATCCTTAACTAGTATCCGTTTCTTAACAACTGCATTACTTACTCGGTGGTCCCAGGATATACGAGTGATGCTTCGAAGACATCTATGATCGAATACTAGTAGCCTACGGATATCCTCTACTCTTACTGGCCATGTTTCACTTCCATAAAGTAGGACGGAACGAACTGCTGCACAGTAAACCCATCCTTTGGTTGGTAGATGGAAATCTCGTCTACGCCATAAATGACGCAAGTTAGCGAAAGCTAGACGAGCCTTCTGTATCCGTGCTGAGATATCGTCACACACCAGAACACAAGGGCTGATGAGACTCCCAAGATAACTGAAGCTGTCAACACGCTCAACTACTTCACTCCCTATCATTAGTTCAGGTGCCGATACAACCCAATCCTGAAGTAACATTTTGCACTTCGAGGGGGAGAATCGCATCTCGAACATGCCTGTATAGTTGCTTATAGTTGTCAGAATACTGAATTTTGTCAGCGTCTTCACTAAATAGAAATATGTAATCGGTGTATTCTAAGTCAACAAGTGAGCCTCCCGGTAAAAATTCAACTCCTGGAGATTGAGATGATGAAAGTGTTATCTCTAAAAGCATGTCAACGACAAAGCTAAATAAGAATGGAGAGAGTGGACAGCCCTGACGAACACCACTTGATGTAATCAATTCTGATGACAGTTCGCCATAAGCTCTCACTCGACCAGTTGTGTTCTAGTAGAGCCTTTATGAGGTTAATGTACTTCTTTGGTACTCCTTTCAGTTACAAACACTGCCATAGAACCTCACGATCAACGGAGTCGAATGCCGCCTTAAGGTCAAGAAATACTAAGATTGTGGGACGTCTGGATTTGTGTCTATGTTTTGGTAAAATTATGTAGTTTAGGGACGAGTCAATGAGAATTGAGAAAATAACTCTAGTGATTTTGATTTTTGTATCAGATACAATTAAACAGTAGAAAAACTTTGACAGTGTTTAGAGTTATAATTCTACAATATTTAAATGAATTAACATGAGTAACCTAACCAAATGTATTTAACTTACCGGGTCGTGGTGGAACCGGAGAATTTCGTGAAACACAAAAAGTAAGAGGATTGGATACGAATGATCCTGTGGATGATGGACGTGAATTTTGCTCAGTCATAACTAATCCAGGAGAAGCGGAGAGAAATGTCAGATGTCGGGAATTATCATGATTAGATGGTGGAATTAACGGAGCACTATTAGAAGAGGATGACTGAGAACTTGATAAATCATGTAATACTGATGGATTACTGCTACAACTACTATTATGATTGTTATTGTTGGTTATCAGGGATCTGGAAGGTGATTCTTTCTGAAAAGGATAATTTGTTGGGGAATTATTATTTCTGTTCTGTTTTAATCCATTTTCTGTACTCTGTTTGTCCATGGATTTAACAGTTGGAGATGCAGTTTGATAGAAGATATTGTTTACACCTTTTAGAGTTGGAGAAAACAAATTAGCAGGAAAATATAATTTAGTCGATTCACTAGATCCAGTAACGGTAGAACATGAAGATAATATAAGTGGAGATAGATTTAAGCGTCTGGAAACATCAATATATCCTTGAGGTATGGATGGTTGATTAGAAAGATTTGATAAAATTGATGAAGAATTCAATATTGTTTCTCTGGAGTTCTGAACATCAATTGCTGCCATTCCTATGTTTAAAACTGGGAAATTATTAGTTGTAGATGATACAGTACCATCATCAGAGATATCAGAATATGCAGGACTAGCAGTAGGAGGTTCGTCGAGAACATCTGTTGTATGATGAATATTATCAAACTTCGATGAGTTTGAGTCACCTGGATCAATAAGTTGATTTGCATTAGAAAAAGAATCAGATATCGATACAACACGATGTAGTTTCGGCGGATCAATATTATCATCAATATCATCACCATTTGTTAAAACTAAACTTGTTTCGTTACTATCACTACTCCTATCTTTGGTACAATGTGCTCTTGCTAGTTTCGGTGGAGGAGATGAATTAGCAGAGATATCACAAACAGATATTTCAAGATTATTATTATTATCAAAATCTTCACTTTTTATCCATCTAACCTGATCAACAACAGGCTCAACAAGAGATTCTCTCATATTTTTCTTTTCTATAGTTTGACTGTTATGATGTCCCATTGTGAAATGAAAACGCATGCTAAGAATATCGGCAAAACGTTTTTCACAGCCATTGAATGGACAACTGAGTGGTAATTTACAATCAGAATTTGAAGATGAAACATCTGACAATAAGTTTGCTTGGTTATCTGCATCATCGTTGAGGGTTTGTTTAGTTTCGGGTAAAGATAAATTTATAGAACATTCAAGAGATGGAGAGACTACACCAATAGGACGAACTGATCTTCGACCAGCGCCACGACGTCTACGTCCTTTAGCTCCACGTCGGGGAATATCGTGTGATGCAATATTGCCAGACTTCTTGCTATAACTTGTCTCTATAGGTACATAAGGTTGGTCAATACACTCAGCTGAATAAGGATCATTAACAACAGACTGGTCTTTCGAATCTACACTCCCCTCTCTTGAGTCTTGTGATGCAGCGGCTGCTGCTGCTGAAGCTGACCGAGTAGTCATTGATACGCCACTAGTACTGCCACCACCACGACGATGATGACGCAGATGGTGAAAGTGAAGGCCACGAGCTTGATAACCTCTGTGTGGATCACACCAAGATTTTCGACCACGTAAGAGATTTAATGCACTGGCGACACCTTTATCCATGCTACGTAAAAATACAAAATAACATTTAGGAACATGAAATAAGCTATCAAAGTCGAAAATAATCATCAACTTTATCAATGTAACTTTATGTGATTTTCAGTGTTACTGGCGTAAAGAAATGAACATTCTGGTCAACATTTCTCGACTGTCACCACAATAGATAAACCCGATCATGACAAGCTAGTAGCTACGATAGAGAGCTTCAATAGTATTAATTAATAACAATAGAGAAAAGTTGTACTCATACCATAAATTTGAAGACAAGAGTTATACTGATAAATAATTTAAAACTTACCAAGTAGGTGCAAACGTCTGTTTTGACGAATCTAGTAAAGTACCCATGTAGTTTCGTCCTCGCCAGTGAAGACTAAGAACAAGCATCCCTATTAATATAGAAGATAAAATATTTCACTTCCAAAATAAATAAATATGAAATAAAATAGATTACAAATTACATAACACAGCTCTCCTTATTCATTAATTATATCTGTTATTTAATTGAAGAAATTTAGTCAGACGCTTTATATATGCAATGATAGATAGTGGGTAGCAGTGGAATCCAGGAAGCGTGTCACTTCGTCCATTGCGTTATCTACTTAGCTACTGAGTTCTGATAGCCAGCTGCTTGTGCAATGGGGTGAAGTCATATTCACTTGGTGTTGTTTACTTGTATCTTCTCATTGTTATTTAGGACTTCAATTGATCAGTCTCTTGTTGACATATGTGCAACCTGTGCAAACTGACTCGATATTGCCTGAAGTCACAAGTTTTATATGCAATGATGGATAGTGAGAAGATACAAGTAAACAACACCAAGTGAATTTAGTCAGATATTAAGTAATAATTCTGATTGTAATATGTAATAAAATGTTTATTAGATTGTTGTAAATAGATAGTATGGCAAATCGAGCTGATGTATATACGTACGTACGAAGTTCTACATTGGGACTGACTGAATTCGGTTGTCGTACGTCTTAACAACACAATGTATTATGAGAAATAAACAGAAATATGGTGGGTCTAAAAAATGGAAATGACCATAAATCGGTAATCAGTAAATTTGAGTGTTTAAGTTGAATTTCATCAAATTTAGCTTGAAGGATCAATTGATACCAGTGTATCTATATCACAACTAAGTACAATTACCTTGATTTGGTTGTGAAGTTCTATCTTTTGTAATATTTGTTAAAATCAGGTTTACTGTATAAAGAATATAATTTACAACTTAGATGAAGGCTTTTGGAATCTCTTATAACTTATACCGGCAATTGTTACTATCTTGTATCCGCCAATTGCAGAGCAGTCAGTCAGTAGTGGGGAGAGTACGCTCTCCCTCTCGAAATGCTCTCACATGGCCAGCGAATATATAGCCTCTGACAGGGAAGTCCTACTCACTACCTTCTCGTGGTGGGGTGTTGTGTACGAAAGTGAGAGGACGAAAAGCGAATGTCTGGCGCTTTAACCGGATTGGTGGACATGGAGGGTCTACATAGGGGAGTTGGAAAACCCTCATTCCAAACCAATGGTGCACATGGGCTCCAGTATCCTGAGGGAACAAATGGCGTATGAACCAATTGTTGGTCACCGGCTACCATGGGATTGCATCTTCTCACGATGCTCCACTGCGTTGTGGATCAGATATTCAGGTCAAAGGCTAGGGGTGTGGCCCCCTAATGAAACCACCTGCTTCAGTCTGGGCACCTGGACAGTATCACAGCCCTCACACAAATCGAATGAGATTTGTAAGGCGCATATGTAACTGGTGCTTCCTTGTACCAATATTTATGTGTTTAATCAAATAAATAAATAATAAGTCCAGAACACCAATAACAGCCATTGCGGTATCAATACTTTGTTTCAGATATACTGGGCTTATATACCAATCAAACAGATCACATCGTACCACAAAATAGAAAATAACATTTGTACAAGATTCAGCCAAATGTGAGAGGTAGTAATTAATAGACTGGGGATAACTCCAGAATGGTAAACCGTATAATAATAGTTCATAGGTCAAAACAAAGCTTATAATAAGACGGATATGGATATGAATAATTTAGTTAGTTAATAATTATACAATAAAAATATACACATGATATTGGTCCATAAGTAGTCCTCAAAAGTTACCATTCATAATTCTCTTCGAGATATAACAGAATTGCTGCAGTGTTCTTTGATTTTCGTGGTTTAACTATGGAACTTTCATTGTTATCTTGAACAGTGTGAAATAGAAGTGAGCTATTGAAAAAAAACTCCACAAGTATCAAATTAGTACATTCTGATGATCGTGTTTAAGACTGATTAGTTTCATAGGTTTCGTTATTTCTATGTATCTGTGGAGCTTTGTTAACTGTTATATACGCTCAACAATCAGATATTCCATCTTAGATAACGAAGCAATGCCAAATGCTAGGTAATCGGATACAATGACAAATTTTTTCATCAGAGACCTAAAGAGACTAAAACTGTTCTTGTCTCTTAACTACTTCCTTCCTCAGTTAAAATGAAAGTCGATAGTATTTCATTATTTATTGTTTATCCATGTTCTTAACAAGACAATAAAACACAACGAATAAATTAATTTCCCAATACTAATTCGCATCTAAGTATTAAGACTAGAAACACAAAAACTAACACTGAACACCCACCTGTAGCTTCTAACCATACCACACCTTCTACAACAACTTTTGTACCTGGTTCACAAGGTCCAAGGAGGTCTGGTTCAGTTAAAGTAGCACAATCAACTGTAGAAGTTGAGGAATCAACAAAATGACAAGGTTTTTCGAATGCTGATAAAAGCTCCTAAAATATGAAATAGTACAATAAACAGATGTATCATTGTGGATAGATTAAATATGAAGTGGGAGACTAAGTATCTAATAAAAATGATATTTTAGGGGGGTCATGTGTAAACAACATGATAATTATAATTTTGTATCTGTAAAAAGTTCATATCATGCAAACTATCAAGTCTATGAAAAAAAAGTATGATACCATAACTGGAATCGGGTCAACAACTCGATAGTTATAATGAGTCTCTCTAACACCGAACAAGAACCGAAAAGTCTGAATAAATACAGTAACAACTGTTAGATTTTTAACTGATTGTAACAATTAACTAGGTGTAACAAATGAAAGGTTTAAATACACTTTACTTCAGTTTGATATAGTCGATAAGTAACACAATAGACTCTACTTCTAACTCGGCAAATAAACCCATATTTATTTGAATAAGTTACATTTCTGTTACAGGAACGCTGAAAAATCGGAGAATAAATGAAATCACGAAATGAGTATTTTAAGACCTAAATGATGATGCAACATGAATAAACATGGGATAATGAGCTTAATTTTCAATAATATCATTCTACACTATAGTCTATTTACTCTGGTTACCTTTATGACACCAGATGATAAATTTCTGTTTTAAAGACTCAAGCGAAGTGGAGACTCAATGGTTAAGACAATCGACTTTCAGCAAACAGTTCAATGTTTGATAATCAGTGTTTAGAAATACGATTATATTAATGATTGTCATGATGATGTAACTACGAATTAATGTTATTTTATTGACCTTATACTTATAAGATGATTAATTTCTGACTAACTATAGTCGTGAAGATCACAAAACGATCACCTGGAGCCTTCGACATAAAGGTCTGATCCACAAGGCAGTGGAGCAATGTCAGGAGATGCAGTCCCATCGTAGCCGGTGATCAACGATTTATTCATACGCCATTTGTTCCCTCAGGGTACTGGAGCCAATGTGCACTATTGATTTGGAATCAGGTCCCTCAACTCCCCTAGATGAACTCACCGTGTCCACTGGCCTGGTTACAGCGGTGGACACTCGCTTTTCGTCCTCTCACGTTCGTAAACAACACCCCCGCAGTGATAAGGAATTGAGTAGCATTTCCCTGTCAGTGACTGTCTATTTGTGGTCATATAACAGCATCTCGAGAGGTCTCAGTGGTCAATCGGTTAAGGGCTCTGGCTCGACACTGGTAGGTCTTGGGTCCGAGTTTCGCGAGTGCGGGGTCGTGGATGCGCACTGCTGAGGAGTCTCAAGTAATAATTAGGAATTGACTTTTATCCCCCAAATGCCCTGGTACGGCCGAGAGTGGGGAGTGTCCGCTCTCCCTCTCGAAATGCTCTCACATGGCCACGCGAATTTAGCCTCTGCCACACAAGTCCTACTCACTGCTTTCTCGTACCACAGATGTTTACCGAATTGAGAAGACGAAAAGAGAATGTCCGGTGCTTTAACCGCACCGGTGGACACGGAAAGTCCAACTAGGAGAGTTGGAAAACCCTCATTCCAAACCAGTGGTATACATGGGATCCAGTATCCTGAGGAAACAAATGGCGTATGAACCAACCGTTGGTCACCGGTTACTATGGGACTGCATCTCCTCACGATGCCCTCGAGAAGGATAGCGGTCTATCCTCGGCCGTACCACGGCATTTGGAGTTTGGCTTGTACCCATGCATACGAATTTGTACTTGGTAAATGAGTTGATAAATATAAATATAAGGATCAAGCAGACTTAGAGACCTTGTATGTTCCGATAAAGGAGCGGTCAGTTAGCTACAACGTAGGACCAGGCACACATGCATCGGTCCAAACTGCTATACCTCATTAGCACAACAAATCAACACCGAATACATAGTATTTAATTTAATGGTAGTAATAAATAAAAGGAAGATTGTATATAAGGATATAGTATAGGAAGAAAGACATGAAGCAATTTTAATCTCATAATTTAAGGAAAAACAGAAAGTGTATACACCTATGCCATTGTGATCGATTCTGAGCCATGTCACCTAGAGTCTCCAACCACTGGTTACGATAGTCACGCGGACCCCAACCAGGTAGTCTGCATCTACCAACATGGCTCAGACTAGAAGTTAGTGACTTCAGGCACTGATGCCATGTTTTGGTTTGGCCGCCCCTAACTCTCTTCCATTCGTCTTCAACACTAGTCAGCATTGAGCGTCGTGGTAATCGGTGTTCAGGCATACGTAACATGTGACCCAACCATCTCAGTCGATGAAGATTCATGACCTCATCAACTGATCCACCATCATTCTCTAATAGCTTGTGTCTAACCTCACTATTACCTACCCGGTATTACTAACCCATTAGGGTTGATCAAACTTCCAAGATAAGTGAAGTAGTTGACACGTTCCACTACTTAATTCCCTATCTTTAGTTCGGGTGTTGATGCAGGCCAGTCTTGGAGCAACAACTTGCATTTAGATGGTGAGAAACGTATGTCAAACATCTTAGCATTGTTACTCAGTTCCAACAGAAGACTGCATTTTGTCAGCGTCTTCACCAAACAGGACTATGTCATCTGCGTATTCTAAGTCACTTAGAGGTCCCCCTGGTAGGAGATCAATTCCTGAAAATTCAGTCGACGAGTGTTTTTTCCAGCAACAGGTCTATAATGAAGCTAAACAAAAATGGAGATAATAGACAGCCTTGCCGCACATTACTTGAGGTTGTAAAATCAGATGACAGTTCGACATAAGCTCCCACTTGACTGGTAGTGTTCGAGTAAAGAGCCTTCACAAGGCTTATGAAATTCTGAGGTATACCTTTCAATGACAGACATTGCCACAGAACCTTTCGGTCTACAGAGTCAAATGCTGCTTTCAAGTCAAGAAAAACTATCATTGTCGGACGCCGATAAGCGTGTCTGTGCTCTAAAACTTGACGAATGGTGAATATGTGGTCGATACAGCCACGACCAGGTCTGAAGCCAGCCTGATTTTCTCGTGTTTGCAGTTCACGAATCTTAGTTAGGCGCCTGATAATTATTGAGGCTAGTATTTTAGATGCTATGTTAGTCAGACTAATCCCTCTATGGTTATCACAGGATGATTTTGACCCCTTCTTATATATTGGGACAATCAGTGATTGTGACCAGTCATATAGGATTACATCCGTCTCCCAGATTTTAGCCAGAATATTAGTCAACCTAATCTCTAAAATCGGACCACCATATTTAAAGACCTCTGGAGCCAATCCATCTGGACCAGCTGCTCTTCCTCGTTCCAGATTACTTATAGCCTTTTGAACTTCAAGTAGGGTCGGGGGGCCTACTTCAATGTTCCATTCAGGTTTTCTAGGAATAGTGGGTAGTTGTGCAGTAGCTGAATGCCAGCTAAACTGCTCCTTAAAGTGTTCCGCCCATCGTTCTAAACGTTTGGGTTGAGAGCAGATAAGGGTTCCGTCTTTTTCGGAGATTGTCTCACACTTGACTTCTTAATTCCGGTTTCTTTTATTAGTCTGAATAGTTGCCTGGTGTTGCCTACAGCCGCTGCCTTTTCCATCTCTTTTGCTTTCGTTGCCCACCACTGCTCACGATCGTTCCATAGACTTTTAGTTAACCTATATCTAATTTGTTTACGCTCTTCGTCGTGTTCAGAGACTGATGGGATGAGTTTATGCGAATCCATCAGTGAAAAAGACTTAGCGGAAATCCACTGGTTTTTTGGAGCCCTATGGTTTAAATGACTAATAGATGTTACTGCTGTTTCCACAGCTGTTCGTATGTCTTTCCAAGCAACATCTGGGTCAGTCTCGTTTACAGGACTGCCTAGATATGAACTCAGTTGTTTCTGGAATTCGTATTTGGCTTTCTCGTCCTCCAGTTCAATCCTAATGGGTCTCCTTAGTGTAATTTTCCTGCGTCCATTCAGGCGCAGACAAATGCGTGCTCGTATTAAAGTGTGATCAGAATCTAAACAAGTATTCCAATACGAGCAACAATCTTCTATTGAGCCTCTCCAACAATGACTGATGGCTATATGGTCTATTTAAGTCCATCGTTGGTTTGGTGCAGGTCGCCATATTCGACGATGTCTCTCCTTATGCCTAAAATTAGTGTTTGCTAAAAATAAACGATTGTCTGCGGACAGTCGCAACAGACGATCATCATTAGGTGTTCGCTCAGCCGGAATACTAAAATACCCACCTAAATATATTTCTCTTTGGTTTAAGCTACATACTTGGGCATTAAAATCACCTGCAACGAGTAATATGAGCGTTTAGCTTTATGAAGAAGTTCAGAGAGCTTTCTGTAAAAGTCATCTTTCATTTCATCCGGGTTGCAGTAAGTGGGAGAGTAGGCAGAAATGACGAAAAGGCAACGACATGTATCCCTACCCATGGCCCATGGGACATCTGCTTGAAGTCGGTCACACACGACCTTCTTGTGAGCAATTTTAGTGTTAGCTCCATACTTGTTTAAACCTTAACGCCGGAGACGGATATCCGTGGGATTTATTTATTTATTTAACACATACATATTGGTACAAAAAGACACCAGATACATATGCGCCACACAAAATAATGAAAATAGGAAGAGAAAGGGTGAAAAGATAAAAGGGACTGAAATGTACAACCGGAAGACTCTTTCCGTTAACAAAGTCAGAACCACTCTTTATGTAGAAAGTAAAAGAAGGTTACAGCAGAATCGCCACTGGCTTCTATTCTGAGCCATATCTGATAACGTCTCTAGCCACTGTGTTGCACCATCTCTCGGACCCTAACCAGAGAGTCGTGAAGGACCAACAAAAGCTAGCCCTTTACAGCTTTCTTTCATACCACGACACGATGTCATACACTGAACACCTCTCCGCTCTTTCTAATCAATCCCAGAGTCGGCAAATAATGCACGACGTCGAAGTCTCTGGGACGGCATTCATAGAACATGTCCAAGCCACCGAAGTCGATGTTTCAAGATGGTGATACCAATTGAATTATCGTCTCTGCGCCCGAACACACGATGCCG